CTCAGATGCCATTGGGTGAATTGGGTAAAGGGCCAGTATCATCATGCCTTAATCCCATTAATCTGGAGCTGAAGGGGAGAACTCTTTATTATGTAAAGTGGACTAGCGTGGCCTTCTTAATGGCCCATTGACAAAGTGGGGGTGGGCAAGAAGCTACAGGGAGCTAGTCTGTCTTTTAAAACATGTTTCTTCCTTTTCACATCCAGAGAAATATTCTGGCTTTTCAATATTTCCTAGGATATTTCATTTTTCTGGGAGAGGGCTGGGTGATAACTTCCTACAGTGGTTTTAGGGATCTGCTAATAGAGTTCCCCAACATTTATGGCTTTGTGGACCGGCAGCACAGGAGGAGATGATTCCCTGCGAGAGGTGGGCGAGCATGTGTGCAGCTCCATTTGCAGAAGTGGTGGGCACATGCACTTGCTACTCGCACAAATGGAGTGTGTGTTCACGTGCTCACCCGCTGCTCACAAAAATGGGTATGCGTGTGTGCAAGCACTTGGCCTCCACTTCCATGCCCCAGTTCCAAATGGCTTCAGGCCCAGTAGCGGGCCGCAGTCCTGTGCTAATAGATTCAGCAATGGTCACAGGTTGTAGGAGCCGCAGTGGCGCAGTGGTTAGAGTGCAGTACTGCAGGCTACTTCTGCTGCCTGCTGCTTGCCTGACTGCAATTTGGCTCAAGGTTGACTCAGCCCAACTCACCAGGCTCAAGGTTGACTCAGCCGACCATACTTTCAAGGTTGGTAAAATGAGGAGCCAGATTGTTGGGGGCAATAGGCTGACTCTGTAAACCGCTTAGAGAGGGCTGTAAAAGCACACTGTAAAGCAGTATATAAGTCTAAGTACTATTGCTATTGTTCTCTACCCTGAAACTTTGATCCTGTTCCTTTCCAATTTTAAAAATTGGTGTTGTTATCCAGATTTCCATGTAAGAACTTTTGTGTTGCTCCCTAAATCATTATCACCATCAGCTATTAAAGATCTTAAATTTATATTCCAAGAACTTGATAAACACGTACCCTACATTTGGCTCTCAGTGATCTGCCAAATTTGGGGGCTCTATTGACCCTGCAATCTCCTCATTGATGCCATGCTGGGTTCCCGAGGGAAGCAGAGTTCTCTGCTCAATAATTATACGACAGCATGCCATTATGCGGCACATTTCTGAGAACTGGTACTGGTGCCTCCTTCTTTAATTTTTTTTTTTTTCTGATTCAGTGATTTGAGCAATGCTGTGCAAGTAGGGCACACTCGGCCTCATTCTAAATGTTCTCTCTGTGTCCTTCAGTGAACCTAACCGGAAAAAGAAGAATAGCTGCTATAGCTCAACAGCAGAGCTTATAGTCACAGATTCAGCCCCAATTTTACATCTCTATCATCATCATCATACGTGTAAAATACAAAGCACATTTTTTTTTCCTGATGGCACTGAAGGACGCAATAGCAGAGGTAGTAAACTACCAGCTTCTTCCTGCGGCCACTGTGCCCAGAAATGTCATATGGTTTGATTAACAAGAAAAGAATTCCTCTGTTTCCATGCTGGATTTTTTTTTTTTCCGTTCAAAGAGAACACCACCAAAATAAAGTGTTAATGTTCTCATTTTACATCCTCAAGTCTTTTTGTCCCTTTTGTTCTGAATCAAAACTGCTGGCGGTGGGGGGGAGTGGGGGGAGGCAAGTTTGTCATATTCTTATTTCAAACTCAGGGCAGGAAAATCCCTTCCCCTCTTGCACTGAACACAGTTCCTTCATCCAACAAGGAATCATTGTAGTCCAGCATCTGTCACTCAGGAGGCCACGGCCAGGCGAGGCTTGTGAAAAGATCTGACACGGATGGTCCCTGTGTGGGATTTGTACTCAGCTGTGCTGCGCACTAAGCAAGGTTTTGTTGCCATGGCAACAAGGAAACCACATGACATCCACACTGCACACAGCCAGAGATGCCGGAAGGCTTAAAGGGTCCATGCAGCAATTGGGAGCTGGGTGTCGGATGGACTCCTGTCCTACCTTGCCCAGTTTTGGCGGTACAATTGAGGAATTAATTTCTCAGTGCAAGATGCTGGAAGAGATTCGTGGCTCATCAGCTGCTTCCAGGGCTACAGGAATTCATAAACTGATGTCCAGAATTGTGAAACAGCCCTAAAATTTCCAATGCTCCCTGCCAGCTTCCCACAAGGAAACACAATAGGGAAGATGGAAGGAAGTCAGAAAACACACCTACTCCCCCTCCTGCTTTTTTTTTTTTGCCCACCCATCAATCTGGTTTTTTTTTTTTAGGTAAGGAAACATCTATGAAACAATGAGCCATCAGAGCACAAAGATGTCTAGTGTTATCTTAAGCTTATGCGAAGAGTTTGCAATGTTTCCATGAGATATATATGTATTTTGCTATACATACAGTGTGTGTTAAAGGTGATAGAACTGCCGCTTATTTTAATTATGGACATTCTGCATATTAAAGAATCAATTGTGTAATTTCACACCCCACCCAGGATATGTAGGATTGCTTGGCTTAAAGCCAGAAGACTGCCTGACATTTGAATTATTTAAATTGCAAATTGAAGGAAAGTAACGAATTTTTTTAAACCAGTTGAAAAAGAAATCGAGGGATTATTGAATGTTTACTTTATGATTTTAGAATTTGGAGATTGGCGCAGTACTTACCATCGGATGGGATTCTGATCTGAGTATAGTTAACATTGCATTATAAAACAAAACTGTAAATTATTTTTTCATTAGTCATTTTATCTATTTATCATGCACTTTTTAACTAAGTTCATTACAGATGGGGAATAAAACAGCGGGAATAAAACAATGACTCACCCAGAGTCATTGAATACGAGATGGGCATATAAATTTCCTAAATAAATAAATAAACAAATAATTGACACAATAAAGCAATTTTTCACAGGTCCCTGTGAAGTTGCTTTAAAATAAGAAATGCTTATCAATTTGAATGTGTAGAGATTAATATCATATATCATGAATTTCTTTAGTTTTGAGGGTACTCTGTGTGTGTGTGTGTGTGTGTGTGTGTGTGTGTGTGTGTGTGTGTGTGTGTGTG